GAGCAGTGATGAAGAGGGAGATCCGAAAACCGACTCCTTTCAAGAAAAAACTATCAGAAATTTACCGAAACTTGAGAGACAGGGCTTTAAAATAGACTTCTCGCGGCTTAAGAGTGAAGGTGCCTTTGGCTTAATATACGCCGGTGTCTACACCCGAGCGGCAAGTATTGCTATGAAATCAATAACTAATTGTCAATAAGTTTTAACACATTTATCGCTTTGTATTAATAGTACGCAAACTTTAGCGGAAGTGATAGACTGGTGGGTCAGCCGTTTGCCGCCAAGTATCTGGAGTTCCCGGCCAACAAATATCTCGGTCAGGCCTACAACTTGGGTTTGTTTCACAACGAAAAGGCTACGCTCGAGCGGATGGCCACAAAGCCGCACCGGAATATCATTCAGTACAATATGACTCTGAATTTGGGCAAAAAGTATCCAGTGGTCAGAGACGACATGACCACTTTCAGTGCCTACCTCAGGGTGTTCCTGGTCATGGAGTGGGCAGATGAGGGTGATCTGGAGGGCTTCGCCAACGCGAGTAAACTCAACGACAAGGTGTGCCTACAGTTTATGCGTCAATTACTGTCAGGTATGTCCATTCAGTTTTACCATTCAATTATAATTTATATATTAATTGGTATCCAATTATCATCAAATGGTAGGTTTACTTCACATTCACAGCTTGTTTGTAGTGCACAGCGACATAAAAATGGATAATGTCTTAGTGTTCACCGGAAGTGGTGGTCGATATGTACCAAAATATGCCGACTTCGGGAACAGTAAGCTGTATGAGCAGTGGGACAGAGACATGGCATTTGAATGCTGTAAGTTGGGCCGTATGTTTGAGCAGATGATATCCATTGCCCGCAAAAGTGCCGATAATACCGGGGTAGACTTCATGGAGATGGAGGGCTTGATAACTGAGTTGAAGTTTAACTTTGACCGCCCGTTGGATGACCTGCTCAAACAGAAAAATATTAGAGTATAATTGTTGGGCACCTGTATGTCACTTCAAAAATATTTTAAAAAGTCTAAAAACAATTAAAAATTAAGATTTTTAATTTTAATGTCTAAATGATGTCTAACCACTAGACTAAGTCTTAAACAAGTCTAAGGGAATATACAGCTAAATACATAAAAAGTATGTATTTTTAATTTAATTTAAAAGACATATACATTAGTCCATAAACAATCAGAAATTAAAAAATTTAATAGATAATTTTAGCTTTAAATCCATAAACATTATTATAAAATTGACAAAAAATACCAAATTATTGTTCATAACAGCCATTGAAGGCAAATATACTGTCTTTTCGGTCGGCACTAAGACATTATATCCCAAGACATGCCGCGAAGATCCAGAAGCGGGAAACCAAAGAAGTATAGTAAGGATTATCACAAGAGGAACCCCATTGGAGCCAAAAAACCCAAAGAGGGGTCAGACCTTTCTCGGGTATCGGAACAGGAGGTCACAAGTCAGGATGGATCAACACTACCAGGGACTGAGTTGTTTGATCCCATCGTGGAGGAGGAACAGATAGCTCAGGGAGGGTCTGGTATTTCTGGGGAAACGGAGTCCTTGTTAGACATTGAGGAACCGGTAGATGAGGAATGGTTTGAAAACACACCGAATGATATAGAGGTGGCCAGTGATGCGGAGGGAGATCCGGAGAACGACTCTTTGACAGAGAAAACGATCAGAAATTTACCGACACTCGAGAGTCAGGGCTTTAAAATAGACTTCTCTGCGTATAAGAGTCGGGGTTATTTTGGCTTCATATACGCCGGTGTCTACGCCCAAGCCGTAAGTATTGCTACGAAAACTCAATAACTAAATGACAATAAGTTTTAACATATTTTCCGTTTTGTATTAATAGTACGCAAACCTTAGCGGAAGTGATAAACTGGTGGGTCAGCCGTTCGCTGCCAAGTATCTGGAGTTCCCGGTCGACAAACCGCTCGGTCAGGCCTACAACTTGAGACTGTTTCACAACGAAAAGGCGGCGCTCGAGCGGTTGGCTGCAAACCCCCACCGAAATGTCATTCATTACAATATGACCTTAAATTTAGGCAAAAAGTATCCAGTGGTCGATGAAGACATGACTACTTTCAAAGCTTACCTCCGGGTGTTCCTGATCATGGAGTGGGCAGATGAGGGTGATTTGGATGACTTCGCCAACGCGGGTAAACTCAACGATAAAGTGTGTCTGCAGTTTATGCACCAATTGCTGGCAGGTATGTCCATTCAGTTCACCATTCATTCAATTATCTATTAAATCTTATATTAATTTATATCCTTTATCTCCGAATGGCAGGTTTGGTTCACATCCATAGCCTGTTCATAATGCACGGCGACATACAATTGGGTAATGTCTTAGTGTTCAGGGGAAGTGGTGGTCGATATGTACCCAAATGGGCCGACTTCGGGAACTGTAAGCTGTATGATAAGTGGGCCCGACATATATCATTTGACTGCACTTTGTTGAGTTCCATGTTTGAAAAGATGATATCCATTGCCCGCAATTGTGCCGATAATACCGGAGTAGACCTCACGGAGATGGAGGGGTTGATACCAGTGTTAAAGTCTAACAAACGCCCGTTGGAGGAGCTCCTCAATCAGTATAAAATTAGCGTGTAATTGTTGGGCACCGGTAGTCACTTCAAAGGAGATCAAAGGATTTTATAAAAGTCTAAAAACAATTAAAAATTAAGAACTCTAATTTCGATGTTTTAATATTCTATGGGGAATATACAGTTAAATACATAAATATTTTTAAATTTAATTTCAGTCATATATACATTAGTCCATAAATAATTAGAAATTACATTTATAAACTACAAAAAAAAACTCATGGATAATACCAAACCTTGTACAGAAAACAAATTTCATAATAGCATTTCATAATGCTATAATAGCATCCGGTATACTTTATATGGCAATATAGTCATTATAAATTATGTGATTTTTAAATTAATCCAATTATTACTATAAAAATTAACAAAAAAAATTGTTCATTGCATGCATTGTTGGCTCACAAACGACTGTCCGGTCGGCACTAAAATACAAAATCCTGAGAAATGCCGCGAAAGAATGACCGGAAGACTAAAAAGTATGGCCGGGTTTGGCACTCAAGAGACAACATATACCGACCCATAGGTTGGGTCAACAGGAGGTCAGGGATTCCTGAGGAGTTGGTCCCAGAAATATCAGATAACGAATCCACAGAATCGGGAATCTTGTCAAACACTAATGAATCTGAGGTCTACACCGGAACCAACAGTCAGAGCACCAGTAGTTTGGGATCAATCAGTTCTCAATTTTTAACAGACGCTGAGGGAACGGAACTTAGCTCTTCAGGGACTGACAGTCAACCGCAGGCATACATTCCGGATGAGGTGGTGGTCAGTAGTGATGAAGAGGGGGCTGTGGGCAACATCTCTCTGATGGCCCAAACTGTAAGGGCTTCACCAAAACTATCGGCTCAGGGATATCGCATAGACTTCTCCAATAAAAAAGGAAAGGGATCTGTTGGTGTCATATACGCCGGTGCCTTCACACAAGCCGTGAGTATTGCTATAAAACACAAAATCAGTTGCAAATTACTATTTCATTCATTACTCCATTAATAGGTCCAGAATCTGAGGGATGGGTCAGCCGTTTGCGGCCAAGTATTTGGAAAAGAAAAAGACAACCGGGAGGGGAAACCTGGCGAAAATGATTGAAAGGGTATATTCCGTCGCACGGTATGACAACGAGATACAGACGCTAACACTACTGGCCACCAACCCTCACAATAATGTGGTTCACTTCAAACGGGCCATATATATGGAGGGAAAGCGTATTTACATGACTAGACGACCAGACCATAACTACAACCGGGTGCTCCTCATCATGGAGTGGGCCGATAGGGGCGACCTCATCACCATTGAAACCAATGGCCTACTCACCGACCAGCTATGCTTGGAGTTTGTGCCCCAATTATGCGCCGGTATGTCATTGTCTTATTATGCAATTATCATTAGTGTATAAAACATCTATTAATTTGTATCTATTTATCACTAAATCCTAGGTTTGGCTCACATTCACAGCCTATTGGTATCTCACGGCGACATACAAATGGGTAAAGTCTTAGTGTTCACCGGAAGTGGTGGTCAATTGGTGTCCAAATGGACTGATTTCGGGATCAGTCAGTTGTTGAGCGCGTGGGGCAGAGACCTGGCCACCGATCTCCATGATTTGGGCCGTGTTTTTGAGCAGATGCTAAAAAGTGCTCAAAAGTGTACCCGAAGTAAGGGCTTAAACATGGAGGAGATGTCTGAGTTGGTGAAGGAGCTTAAGATCACTTCACAACCGTTGGATAAAGTGCTCGAGAAGTGTAATATCACGTTCTAGTAATCATTGGGGGCACCGGTATCTCATTTACGAGTAAAGAATATTTACCAGGAATCAGGAGTTTAATAATAATTCTTAAAATTTAATGCATTTAATGCTAAGTTTGAATCAAACCTATGATTAGTTGTGGTGAATATATGGTGAAAAAGTGTATGAATTATATTGTTTTCTATGATTTATACTTATCATGGCACAGATATGGTATGGCACATTCGCATGTACTCATCGCACAGGTATGTAAACTGAAACTAAGTTTTTTCTGATCAGGTATTGCCACATTATTGGTGCCCTAAAAATAGTCAGTATGTCATTCAAAATCATTAAACTCACATAAAATTAATTTAAAACACAATTCAATTGAAAAATTAATTTATTCATAATAATAATTATCTCTTTTCTGATTTCACTATTTTAATAGTGTTTCATCGAAATAAAAACAAATTTCAAATATATCTCATTAATTATAATTTTCAATCAATAAATGTCTCAATAATTAATTTAAAAAATGATTACATAATCAATAATTAATATACTTATCTGATTCATAATAATTACAATATATTTAATGACAATCTTCTCAAATATAAATCTATGAATTGATTAAAATATCGGTTCATTTCATTCAATAGTTAATATAAAATCAGTTTTCCATTTGTACTGCGGATCAGTCGCTGTGTGTTTTGCGGGAACTCCTATTCAATTAGTTATAATAAATCCTATTTGCTCTTAGAGTTGGGCGACTCGGACATGGCTCGGACCGCGTTGTGGGTCGACTTCACTCTAATCTTGTGTGCATTGGGCGTCTGGTGGCCGTGTCTGGTCTGGTGGACCTTCAGGTTGCCGGCCTGGGAGGCCGAGAACGAGCAGTCCTTGAATTGGCATTTGAACGGCCGCTCACCTGCGGTGGGGGACAGACACACAGAAACCAATCAATAACTCAATCAAAAACAAACTCAAAGCCAGCGACCAGTGAAAGCGCTACACTCTCACTGAGCACCGGGTGCTCTGAGCCTCGCGGTGAGACACTACTGACCCGTATGTACTCTATAATGTCTTTCCACGTTTTGCTTATAACTCGAGATAAACATACAGTCCGGCCAATTGCAGCGGAACTTATCGCCAAACTTTTGCGATGTCTTGAAACCTGGAGCCAAAGGATCCAATCAAACGCACAAAACAATTAATACCACAAAAAAAACTCTTCACACGTCTTCACACACACATACCTCTCGTCTTATCGGTCTTCCGGCGCTTCGGGGGACTCATCATAAGTCTGGGTCCGCCGCCGTTGGGGAACGACTTGCGGGCGCCTTTCGGTAGCGTTCGCTTCGGTATGAACTCCATGTCCGTCATATCGAGATAGCCTTCGCCGGCGCCGTTCGGGTCGTCGTCCTCCTCCTCCTCCTCGTCCGCACCGCCCATACTATGGTTCCCATTGCCGTCCATACCGTCCATCTGGAGGTCGATTAAGTCGAGTTCAGGCATCTCCTGGTCGTCGTCGTCCTCATCGCTATCGTCCAGATCGTCATCCGTGTCCTCCTGTGACACATCGGTTCCCAGCATATCGTTGTCCTCCGACTCGTCCACCGATGTCTGCGTCGAGTCCAACGACTGGATCCAAGACGTCAATCACACAAATGACACAAAAAATTAATTTCAATCACAAAAGTCATCGAAAGATAAGTTGAGATCAAATGAAAGCAAACTTTTTGAAAACTTTTTCATTTCTAATCTGAAGACTATTGAATCAAATGGCGTATAAAGTGGACGAAAATGTGTTCATAATTAGTGCCAAAACACTAGCGAAACACATATTTGTGAGGAAAATGTGAATAAAAGCACAAAATTAGGCCAAAAGTCATGCAAAAGATTACATAACAATAAACACCACAAATGTGTTACTAATGCTAACAACACCTTAAATATCGGCAAAAATGTCACAAAATAATCACAAAAAGCTATTTCGGGCCAAAAAACCACCAAAAATACTAAATAAGTGCCAAAAAAAGTTAACACAAAAAACTCATCACAAAGTGTCACAAAAAACCTGCAAATCATTGACAACTAAAACACAAACAAAATCCAATCAATCACTCATACAATTAGCGATTACACGGGACTATACCTTAACGGAGGGACCGGGAGGTACGGGGCCTCCTATAGCCGTCGAGTTGGTGGACACGGAGGTAGTGGTAGTAGTAGTGGTGGCGGCACTCGCAGCTCCGGTAGCACTAGTCGTATACGACTTCAGGAGCGACTGTTTGCACGACTCGTACTCACTCTGCAGTCGTTTGCATACATTGACGCAGTTATTGATATCCGTACGGAGCTGTTGATAATCAGCTCCCTGTCCACCAACACCACCATCGGCACCGTTAGGCTCGAGCGTGAGCTCAATGAGCAGGGCATTGAGTTTGTTAATATACTCGTTCTGAGCCACTTTGACACGCTCAAGCACCTTGCACAGTTGCCGCTCGTTGTACAACTGGTGCTTTAACCTCACCTCGGAGGTGTGCAAGGTGCTATTCTCGCTTTCCAACTGCGAGTTCCGTAGCAAAAGTAGCTTCACCTCACTTTTCAGCATATCCATAGCGCCTACAGTCTCTATGGTATGCCAGTGTGTGTGTGAGATAGAGAGACACAGCCCTACCTACCCGTCCACACCACACATACACTGTTCACATATACACAACACTATTGACTGTGTTTTTCGCCACTGAAATACTTCTTACGCCAAACACGCGGTCAGTATCGCACTGTTGGCCACTAATACACCGATTAATACACTCGTCGTATCGTATGGTGAGTCACGCGGTGTCCACATATCGTAAGCTACGCCCGCATTGGCCGCTAATTACGAGCGAAACGCCGCTTAAAAATCTTCGCGTTTTACGAGTCGTAAGATTTGTTTACTTTTTATTTTTATGTATGCATTCAATGTGTGCTACAAATGCTTAGCACTCGATAGCACTGCACGAAACAACACACACACAGCGTAAGCATAGCGTAAGCATTGCTTTTCCTCTCACTCTGGAGTAACTGTGCCTTTTGGGAGGCCTTACACACATTACGTCCACTTTTTGTGGTGAAGCACTCGCTTTCGTGTTAATCTTTTCATTCACACTCCCTTTCCTCCCGTTCCCATTGCATTTACTGTTACAACCAAAGCCTACTGTTCCTCTCTGTCCTTCCAGGCCATTTCGCGCACCCATTATCAGTGTTGTTGATAACTCATTGATAACTAACTTTGCATTTCGTTTCACGCATTAAGTCACATACGCTTTGCGCCCATTATTTAGCCTTATTTTTGACAAACATTTTCATTAATCCCTTAATTATTTTTCTAAACCCCAAAGCTTTCGCACGTAAGCCGTAAGAGCCGCCCGTAGTTTGTATCATATATGCTGCGCTTAGTGACCCGGGTCGTCCGCCACCCGACCTCCCTGTGCCACAAGTATAGTACAGTCTATTGTCGTTTAGTGTCCCGACTTTTTTAGGGGTAATATTTGCCGCAACTTTTCGCAGCCAATCCCTGAGCCTATCGACACATATGAAGCGCGCCGACCGCCTGAGCACTATTCAGACCAACGTATGGGTGGAGTTCATACAACTGGCCGGGCAGTACCGGCCCGTCAACCTGGGTCAGGGATTCCCGGACTTCGCCGCCCCGGAACACCTTAGCCGAGCCCTGGCCGAGGCGGTGGTGGACAGGGATCGCCCGCTCATCAATCAGTACACCCGCGACGCCGGCCACCCGAGACTCGTCAGGGCATTGAGTCAGCTCTACTCCGGACTAACGGGCCTTTCCATAGACCCCGACACCGACATACTGGTGACGTCCGGCGCCTATCAGGCGCTGTACTGCGCGTTCATGGCGTACGTGAATCCCGGCGACGAAGTGCTCATAATTGAACCCTTCTTCGACTGCTACGAACCGATGACACTACTGGCCGGCGGAACGCCTGTATTCGTGCCGCTCAGACCCAAACCCGGGGCGCCGGGAGCGCCGATGTCCAGCGCCGACTGGCGTCTCGATCCCGAGGAACTGGAGGCCGCGTTCAGCGCGAAGACTAAGTTTATTATTGTGAACACACCTAACAATCCGTTGGGAAAGGTATGCGAATGTGGAGGGGAAAGGGATCGCAACATACCGCTAATGTCTTAACCACTTACTGTATGTGCCTTAAGATCTACACTCGCGATGAGCTGGAACTGATCGCCCGGTTATGCAAAAAGTACGACTGCCTGGCCGTTATGGACGAGGTGTACGAGTGGATGGTATATACCGGGAGCACTCACACCCGCATGTGTTCCCTACCGGACATGTGGGACCGGACTATCACTATAGGCAGTGGTGGCAAAACATTTAGCGTCACCGGTTGGAAGCTGGGCTGGGCCTACGGCCCCCAACACCTATTGGATCCACTCTACCTCATCCATCAGAGTAATGTGAGCTCCTGTCCCACACCCATACAGGAGGCGCTGGCCGTGGGCTTTGAACGCGAGTTACAGCGTATGGGAACTCCCGACTCCTATTGGGCGCAGTTATCGCAGTCACTGGAGTCCAAAAGGAACCGCATATCAAAGTTCCTGACAGAGGCCGACATGAGCCCCACCCTACCAGAGGGCGGGTACTTCATAATCGCCGACTTCTCGCGATTGGCCGATCGGATAGACCTGTCGGGAGAGAAGGACGCCACCAAAGACTACCGGTTCGCCAAGTGGTTGACTAAGAACGCCGGCCTACAGGGCATACCTACCGGCGCTTTCTACTCGTCAGCGCACAAACATTTGGCCGAAAACTACATTAGATTTTGGTATAAAAATGACATTATATTTCTAAAACAAATTAATTCATATTACAAAACCAATAATTGTATTTCAAAACCAGTTTTATTAAAAAAGACGAGACTTTGGATAAAGCGGAACAAATCATCACCGGTTTGAACAATAGGCTGCCATTCAAGAGAGTTTTACATCCCTTTCCGACTATTTAGGGCTTACGGTTATGTGGAAAGGGATCGCAATTAATATGATTAATGTTAAATGTTTTTTTATTTTTGTGAATTAACTAGTGTTTTAAAAATAGTTTGTTTTTAGCGCTAATTTAAACGTTTATTTTATCAAAAGTTATTTAAAGTTTTTTTTAATGTACACACATTCCCGCACCCGTTGGCATCCCATTCCACAAAATTAAGATTAAGGGAAAGGGATCTGAATTAACATAAAACACATTAGCCAAGAAAATGTTATTTAGAGTTATTTATTAACTTTTTTAATTTAAAACCTTATGTTTTTAGTTAGAAACTTGATTTTAGTTTTACTTTTATTTCGCTATTATATTAAATTAATATAAAAACTTTTTTGCAAGTTTGAGTGTTAATCACTATACAAATGCAATTATCTATGAGTTCTTAACCGGCATCTTAATGGTGACCGCCTTGACCTCCGTGTACTCATGTATGCCGTCCTCTCCCAGTTCCCTCCCGTGTCCACTCATTTTATAGCCACCAAAAGGGGTCTGAACGGAGGCCGTGTCGTAGCAGTTCACCCAAACTGACCCGGCTTTCACTCCCTGCGCGAATTGCAGAGCTTTTTGCAAGTTGTTGGTTAGTATACCGGAGCCCAGACCGTATCGGGTGTCGTTGCACCGGCGGATCACTTCATCCATGTCTTTGTACTTCAATAGCTGCTGAACGGGTCCGAAGATCTCCTCCCTATACCATACAATCGCACCATTAGTTCAATGCAAAACTCATATAAAGTTATATCAAGAAAGTCGACTTTATGTAATAAATCATTTCCTTGATCATTTACTAACCGTGCGATTTGCATATTATCGGTGACATTGGAGAAGACAGTGGGCGCCACGAACCAGCCCTTTGTGCCGACTCGAGTGCCACCCGTTTGCAGGACTGCGCCCTCCTTTTTGCCACTCTCTATGAGATCCATTACTTTCTTAGTCTGCGTCTCGTCGATGATAGGGCCCTGTTCTGTGTCGGCCGACATGGGATCTCCTACTTTGCGCTTTTGTGCCAACTCTGCCGACTTCTTGGCGAACTGGTCGTAGATGGACTCGTGGACAAACGTACGGGTGCCCGCGCAACAGCACTGCCCTATACAACAAATAGTTTCAAAATAATTAAAAACTATTAATAATAACTAAATAACCAATTAATTAATCTAACTATTAGCTCAAGTAGTCTAGTCTATTAGGGGTCAGTAAACTATGGGTGGGGAACGGGATCTAAAACATACCGGCGTTGGCGAACACAGCGTCGTGTGCGATCTGGACGGCCTCATCCAAGTCGTAGTCTTCGGTGACCACAAGCGGCGATTTGCCGCCCATTTCTAGTGTCACGCGTTTCATGTTAACAGTCGACGCCTGGACTATGAGTTTTCCCACTTCTGTACTCCCGGTGAACGCAATCTTATCCACGTTGGGATGTCTGGCCAGTGCGGCGCCGGCAGTGTGTCCATAGCCGGGCACCACATTGATCACACCGGGCGGAAAGCCGGCCTCTTTCGCCAGGCTAGCGGTGTATAGAGCGGAAAGGGGTGTCTGTTCGGCCGGCTTCAGTACGACGGTGTTGCCGGTGGCCAACGCTGGGCCCCATTTCCACGACAACATCACCAATGGGTAGTTCCAGGGAATGATTTGACCGCAAACTCCGATCGGCTCCAGTCGTGTGAACGCAAACTGTTGGCCGTCTAATAAAACGTGATAAAAAGTACCGCTTATTAGGCAAACAAGTGACTAATATACGGGAATGGGATCTATTAGCGGCTCCATTACCTGCGGGTATAGTCTTTCCGTGCACTTTGTCAGCCCAACCCGCGTAGTACCGGAGCGTCCCGATCACGCCGTCGATATCAAACTCGGCCTCCGATACTGGTTTGCCCACATCGGCCACCTCCAGTTCCAGCAGCACCTGCCGGTCCCGTTCAATAAGGTCGGCCAGTTTGCTCAGTAGGCGACCCCTCTGGGAGGCGTCCATTGTTCGCCACTCGGACCCCAATTCAAAGGCCTTTTGGGCCGCCGCTACCGCTTTGTCCACATCGGCCTATATATGGGTCAATATATTAGTAAGAATTTATTTGTAGGTATGGGAGGGCACGGGTAGCCCACATACCTGGTCAGCCTCTTGAATGTCAGCCAACTTTTCATTGTTAGCCGGGTTTATAGTCGGAAAGGTCTTACCACTGACTGAATTGTGCCATTCATTGTTTATAAATATCTGAAAATAATTTAATTAATTATTTGATTAGCAATTAACGGAAACAAATATTTTGCAAAACTTTTTACTATAAGAATAATTAAGTTTATGATAGCATTGAATACCTGGGTATATTTGACGGTCGGACTCATTGTGATAGCTATGAAGTTGAGGTAAGTGTTAAGTATTTTTATACCAAAAACTTTTGTAATGAAACTTAATTTTTATGTCAAGTTGTGATGATTTGACTGAAAGAGAGGACTAAATGCTATAAAAGTGTCTTCTATATACAGTTAAGACGTGAGATCACAGCCTAATCTCTATGTCCTAATCTCGTCGATACACTCAAGGGTAGGGGAATAGTAGGGATGGGAAAGCCTAATTAAGCACATTCACAAGTCTGTGTAGTATAACTTATATGGTAAGAAAATAATTCATGACAAACTAATAATAGCATAAATTCTTGGTGTTTACTGTACAAGACTTTCAATCTTAATACATTAAACATTTGCATATAAAGTGTGCTTTTAACATTTAATATAAAATAATTTATTTACTATTCTGTTATAAGTTATGATTAGGAAATGATTACAAAATTCTGGGTAATTTTTAAAAATATAATTCTGTGCAATATTCCTGGTCATATATTTAATAAAACTACAATTTATGTCTTTATAATGATAACAAATTAATCTAAATAATTAATTAATGTTAGCCAGTGCATTTTTCTTGCTTTTGTTGTCCAGAAATGTCAAATTTAAGTACATTGTGTAACTGATTAGTTTACACTGATAATATGCCATTTATGAGATACTGGATGTTTGCTATTGACTGAATTCAAGGTTAGTCTATACTTTTGTCAGACAAGTGGTTATAAATTGCTATAAACAACAGCATACATATCCAATTCATGACCGATACACTATCCTGGCTCAATGTATTATGGATGCGAAAATAATTACTGTTTCATTATTCCTATTCATTCTTAGCCTTGAATTTTGAGCCATTATTTCATTTTGCAATCTATTCGTACAGTATTACAAAAGCTTTAGATTAGATTTTTATGAATAAGATTAATGCTGATAACAAATTGTATAATTATGTATAGGTATTAGAAAACATATTTTTATACCAAATTTATAGCGAACTAAGTGTTATATTGTGTACTTTATTTTAAATAAGTTTTATTACTTAAATTAAGCAATGTACTAAATATGGAAAGCAATGGAGAATTGAAAGCATATGTTATATAATAAAAATCATAAGAATATTTACTTTATGCACCCTTATATCACCAGGTTCAATCTTAATTTAACAAATACTCCGCAAACAAATGTAACTTAAGAGACAATCAGTGAACACACATGTGATCAAACAAAACCAAACCCTAATTAAATGATTAAACGTTGGCTCAAAAGTCAGTGTATGAGTCGCACAGACAGACAGATGCTTCATCCAAATCCAGTGCTCATGTCTGTAGCCATCAGTTTATGTAATAGTGATGCGCGGCTACAGTAGTCTTAAAAGCTTTTATTTTATTTGTCAATACAGTACTGGTATATGAGATGATTTTAAATTGCAAAATTAAAATGAAAGCCTTATATCGTATTTCCCAAAAGTATGTATTACAGTGGCTTTCGTAGGTTTTCATAGCAAACTAAACAATATTCTCGTTAACATTCAATATACAGAATAATAATATCAGGATCAATAATTCATAGATAATTCATAAGCTAATAACAATATTAAAGATTTATTACTTACAATTTTTAAATAAATTTAAACATAAATTTAAAATATTAAAATTTAATCAATTAATAAATAAGTGTCAAAACCTTTAATAAAGTTATTTCAACCCAAATATGATAAAAAATTTATAAATAGCTCGTGGAATCAATCCAAGTGATGATTAGTTTAAAACTTACCATTAATGAGACTTAATAATAATAATAATGTAAATGAGATACAAGTAGTTTTTATTTTAAATATTAAGTTTTTAATGCTTTAGGGTAATTATAACTTAGTTTACAATATGGGGTTAAGAATTACAAGTTTATTGTTTTAAATATGAGATAAAAATAGTTATTATTTGATTCATAAAAATATTCGATACATGCATTTAATATCAAGAAAAATATGTATTAATTAAAATTGTTATAAATCAATATCTGATGCATAGATACAATCAAAAGCTATATTATATTTTTGTTTGGATCCAATCGCGACTCCACATCTGACTTCTCACTCAAATCATCGGCAAAAATAAATCTTAAAAACACTTTAATAACTGACTTTTAAATGGGGTTTTGTGCGGAAAACACTGCATATCTCTCTGTCATTCGTAATCACTTTTGCATAGCATTTATGGCCACAAAATAAATGTCACTAACGTTCACATCAAATATCAAAACTAAAAATCTATATTACAGTTCACAATATGTATAATCAAATCAAATCTCCCGTTCCGGTCGCTCGCGTATCGCATTAAAGATCGATAATAATCTTAGGCTTCGGGGGTCTACCCCTCCCTCTCTTATGTCTGTCCATAATCTGCTTGAATTTGTCGGCAATAGCTGTCAATACAAACACACAATTAATATCGCAATCAAATAAATCATATCTCAAGTCATCTATTACTCGGAAATCTATTATTTATATTTGAAGTATGGGTAGCCGTCACAACATTAGCCGCAATGGGGCCGACAGGTCGCTGTTTGGCAGGTCTGCCGCGTTTTCGCTTATGTTTATCCAAAAGTTGTCTAAATTTTTCGGATATTTCTGCGACAAAAACACAACACAATTACTAAACATAACCACAAAAACCTCTTAACCCATACCTGTCTTCATATTCGTGGTATTCTGCGGACTCTTCGCCTTATTATTCATACTATCAGTCGCTTCGGGACTTGATTTCAATGTAGGACTAGTTCTCAATCCATTCCCAACTTTAGGAGGACTTCCATTGGATTCAGTGATGGTATTCACCGGCAGCTTCTTAGGCGGTCTACCCCTTAACGCTTTGGGAACCAATTTCTTGGGTCGGCCTACTTTGCGCTTTACAACAACTCCTGGTTTGTGAGCTATACTTAACTTCATTTTGCCCTTAAATACGACAGGCTTTGGCTTCGTGTCGGCGCTGAAAGTGTTTGTCTGTATTTTACTTTGATTTGCTTTGGAGTCAACGCTCGGGGGTCGGCCTACTCTGCCCTTAATTGGCTGAACGCCCGCTGGTTTCGCAAACTTATTGTTATTTACAGCCAGTTTAGTGTCCGTACTGGGAGGGCGGCCTACTTTGCCTTTTATAACAAAGGGCCTGGCGTCCAAACTACCGGGTCGTCCGAGTTTAGCGCTAAACATCGACGGCTTGCTGTCCACACTCGGAGGTCGTCCCACCTTACGCTTGACGGGCGCCGACACACTGGTGTCCAAACTGCGAGGTCTGCCCACTTGACCGTTGATTTTCAACGGTTGATACCCGATGCCGACGCTGGACATCAACTTCTTGGGTCGACCCCTCTTTCGTTTCATAGTATCTGCGAAACACACCAAACAATTGCATCAAAACCTCACTCAACCATCAAATCACCGCAAAAACCACTCAATACCTGACATCAACTGACTGTTCATTTGATGGCCATTACTAAACGGGCGTCCGTTCGCCAACAGATTAACCGGCTGTCCGTTACCACCAGTAGTGGAGCCGTGTTTACGTTGCAAGTGAGCCGACATCTGGTCAGCGGTGGTGAACACCCGGTGCGGGAGACACTCGTCGCACACGAACACGTTGTTGTGGACGCTATTCCTCTTGAGTCTCTGGTGCACACCATTCATATGCATCTCTAACTCCCGTTCTGTTTCGAAGCACTCGTAACACTCGACACAAATGGGTATCACTTTGGGCTCATCCGCGGGCGTCGTGTCGTAGAAGCCGTTCATCTGAATCTGACCATTACTTCTGCACATATTGTCATCGCTTTTGGGCTCGTATTTCAATTCAAAGCCGTTGTTGTCGTCCATTATCTCCTCTTTTATGTGAACTGCAAATACATTTCACGAGTCATAATCCGCTCAATAATACCATTCATTACTCGTTATAGTCAACTGATTCCCAGTTACCACTCATTCACTACACTATAAGATGGTTATCATAGTAAATAAATCTGACCACTGATAGTGTCAAGCAATTAATGCGACACTAAATACCATTAAAAACTAGTGAGAAATACAGATATCTATAACGGGCTTCACATCACTCATACTCACGAGTAAACTGTGGATAAGTATGCGATTCGCTGTACGTATCGCTCATCCGGTACTCGGATTTCATAGACATTGAGTTCGTGTCACACGATTGCAGACCAATCATGCCATTCATGTAACTGTGACCCGGATTATAGGTATGATAGCCATTGGCAGCACCCATACCACCACCACTACCACCACCGCCGCTACCATTACCGTAGCTATGATTGTGGTGACCATTGGGGGTACAATTACTGTGACTCTGATGACTGGATCCGTTGCCAGCTTTGGTGGTGAAGAGCACGCGCTGTTGCTGTGGTCGGGAGCTGTACTTCATTGTCTTGAAGTCATTGGACAGGCGGTTGATCTTCTGGAAGAGATCGCGATTCTCGCGGCACTTGCACTGAGCCCTCGCTATCAGCGAGTAGTTCTTCACCTCAATCAGGATGTCATTCAACTGGCGCTCAAACGACAACTCATTCAGAAGTCGCGTGTTTTCCTCCGACAGCTCCTGAAACAGGTCTTTGACGAGCGATTCGCACATGTCTTCAGCTGATTATCCCCTTCGGGACCACACGTCAGATATGGGACCACTACACAGTCTTTGTGTGTATTGAACAACGATTTGTATCACAAATATCTGTCAAAACTTTTTCGACGCTTAAATCATTTGCTTAGCGACTGATTGCGCGACCAAACCGTTGGCCACGTGTTTGTCACGTGATTTCAATGCCGTCTACTTATCGGCGATAATCTCTCGACGCGTTTTGGACGCGAAAAGTGTGCAAAAAATATGACTTTTTGTTTCAAATAATACTTTGACTTTCAATGGGAGAGCACGTGATTCATACGACAAACAATAAACACAATAAACAGGGTCTCACACGCTGTACGACACAGTTATTACGTCCACTACAGTCTATAATCGATATAAAGTGCAATGTTGNCTTAAAGTATGAGAAAAATATTTCTAAAATAAATTAATAATTAAAATTAAACTTATATTTGATAATCACTTCATTAAAAGGACATAAAAATGCATTACGTATCGAAAGGCGATGAAAACAAACAGTTAATGCTTTTCATTCACGGATTCCCGGAGTTCTGGTACTCGTGGAGGCATCAGATGAAAGAGTTCGCCAAAGACTATCACGTGATCGCAGTGGACAACAGGGGATATGGAGACACAGACAAACCTACCGGCGCTCAGAACTATACTGTCGACCGATTGGTCGAAGACACGCGAGAATTCATCGAAGCCCTCAACAAAAAGAACATTATTCTTGTGGCCCACGACTGGGGCGGTGCCATCGGGTGGGGAATGGCGGCCAAGTATCCCGAGTTGGTCCAGAAGCTGGTGATCATCAATAGCCCGCATCCGGCTATGTTCCGGAAGCGCAGTTTGAAACAGTTTTTCTACTCGTGGTATATGTTGTTCAATAGCCTACCGGTGCTGCCGGAGTTTGCAATGGGGGCCAATGACTTCTACATGTTTGACAACGCGTTCATCAATGGGGACGGGAGGCCACTGTTGCCGGACAGCCAGATGGAGGCATATAAGTACACGTTCCAGAAGAATGGATTGACAGCACCATTGAATTGGTACAGGGCACTCATACACCGGTTGCCTCCCAAATATCCACATCCTAAGAGTTTTCAGATTAAAATGCCCACGCTACATATTTGGGGTATTAATTGACTTATTAATATGTGGTTTGTTTTGGGAATTAATTGATTTTTGTATTGATTTGTAGGTAAGAAAGACAGATACCTGACCTCACAGTTAGCCCAAGTCCATGAGCACGTGGATGACCTGACACTGCATTACATCGAGAACTGCTCCCATTGGACACAAATGGATCAGCCGGATCTGGTCAACCAATATATGAGACAATTCTTGGCCAAGAAATAGTTGTATTAGTTTTACTTAATATTAAAATCTATTTTGTTTGTAAAATAGTTTTTCTATTCGAAAGAGGTTTTTGATTGTGTTTGGATTAATTGTTTAATTTAATAAAACAAATGTTAAACATTTTTACAATATTGATTAAAACCGAGTTTGTCATTTATTTTCAAACTATGTACATGTTAGTATATTTGTTTTAGGAATTATGTTTATAATTAATTTATTCATAGTCATGACTCATGATTTTGGATATTAGTGTTAGTGTTAACCAAATTCAGTATTAAATGCTAAACAATGGCTTAATCGTAATGCAGTTACAGTATTATCGTAATATCCTGACTGACCTTCAAGGGCTTATCAAAAGTTTTGATTCAAAACTATACACAATATTTCCATAAATACATAAAAAGTGTGTCTGACTATTTTTAAAATAAGCGTTAAGTTATGAAAATATTTATCTAATTTTACAGATGGTTAAGATATGCAATTGTAAAGAAAATTATGATATAATAACTAAGCATGTTAGATTCAACAAAACTGTACTAACTTAAATCAAGGTTTCGAAATAATTTTTTATATAACTGTTTGCAATGCAGTAAATTGATAAAAGTTTACAACAGTTTAGTACATTTGTATGAAATGTTTAGGACATTGAATCAAAATCAATAGATAATTGTTTATAATGTTTGTAATTAGGGTTTGCACTAACAATCCATTTCTTTACAAATACTATTTAATTACTAATCGCTAAACAAAACTCATTTTGCATTTTGTGTTAAACGTGTTTAAAACTAATTTTTGGACAAAATGAGTTCCCAAGTCAATGGTACTGCTAAGGGAATCCCTGCACAAGAAGTTCCAGTGTCTATGAAAATCAAGACCTGGCTATTGTCAATAATATATGGTCTATTCGTGTCGTGTTATCTCATATTCAGTATAATTAGGAATCGGAGTAAATTCTTTCAGCATAAGCGCCGGGATGTGCCACCAAAGTGTCTGTACGACCCATCGCACGGAACTCATCACTTCATACAACTTAAAGTAAGTGACAATCAATTCATAACTACATTTAAAATGTAAAATCAATTCATTAAAAGGACATTAAAATGCATTACGTGTCGAAAGGCGATGAAAACAATCAGACAATGCTTTTCATCCACGGCTGCCCTGAGTTGTGGTACTCCTGGAGGAATCAAATGGAAGAGTTCGCCAAAGACTATCACGTGATCGCAGTGGACAACCGGGGATATGGCGATACAGAAAAACCTAGCGGCGCTCACAACTACACCCTCGACCTGATTGTCGAGGACACCAGACAACTGCTGGAAGCGCTCAATAAGACTAAAATAGTGATCGTTTCGCACGACTTCGGCGGTGCCATCGGTTGGCGATTTGTCGCCAAATACCCCGAAATGGTGGACAAGAATATAATCATCAATAGTCCGCACCCACTGATGACGCGGTCGGCCGGTTGGAAGCAATTGTGGTACTCGTGGTACATGAGCTTCTATAACCTGCCGTACCTCCCGGAGTTTGCAATGCAAAGCAACGATTACTACCTCTTTGACTACGTTATGAGGACCTGGGATGAGAAGCCCCTGTTGTCCGCCGAGCACATGGAGGCCTATAAGTACCAGTTCCAGAAGCATGGCTTCACGGGACCCCTCAACTGGTACCGGGCGGTGGTCAGGCGCTACCCCTTACAGCACCCTAAGAGTTATCAAATTAAAACGCCTACGCTCACTATTTGGGGTAAAGTTTTTAGGTTTTTTTTTATTGAGATTTAGGTTTTAATGTATTTTTTGTGTACTTAGGAACTGGCGATAAGTATTTGACGACACCGTTAGCCGCGGCCCACAAATATGTGGATGACTTAGAGGTTAAGTACATCGATAAGTGCTCGCATTGGACGCAAATGGAGCGCCCGGTGCTCGTCAACAAGTATATGAGGGAGTGGTTGGAGTCCAGGAAAAAATAGTTTAAATAAAGTTTTATAAATTGCTTTTTGATTGTAATTATTCTGTGCTTTTTATGTTATACTGTAGAGAATTGTATTAAATTTACTATAATATAGCAATTTGTATACACTTTGATAGTAATGTGTGAATAAAATTCATTGATTTGTGAATTGGATTATTAAATAAAGTTTGTATTAAATGAATTTAAACGCGAATATATGGAATAATCTAGTTAAATCACAATTACCTAGTTGATTTACGCAGAATTATCATTGACAAAGGGTGGGTGTGGGGGCCAATTCTGTATGCTTGTTAACTTATACAGTTTACCTTAACGTTAATAGACATTAAAGTTTTAAATTTAAATATGTAGTATCCAAATATATTTCTAACACTTTATAATTACAATTAGTATAAATAAATATAACCTGATAATTTCATTTCAAATAACTACTTCCAAATGGGTTTATCAAAAGTTGTCTGTATTGGCAACATTGCACTTTATATCGATTATAGACTGTAGTGGACGTAATAACTGTGTCGTACAGCGTGTGAGACCCTGTTTATTGTGTTTATTGTTTGTCGTATGAATCACGTGCTCTCCCATTGAAAGTCATCGAACTCTTTCATCTGATGCCTCCACGAGTACCAGAACTCCGGGAATCCGTGAATGAAAAGCATTAACTGTTTATTTTCATCGCCTTTCGATACGTAATGCATTTTTATGTCCTTATAATGAAGTGATTATAAAATATAAGTTTAATTTTAAGTATTAATCTATTTTAAAAATAAATTTCTCATACTTTAAGTTGTATGAAGTGATGGGTTCCCAGAGCGGGGTCTTTGAGGCAGTCCGGGGGCACATCCCGACGCTTTTTCTGGAAAAAACTGCTCCTATTCTTGATTATACTGATTGTGAGATAACATGACACCAGAAACCCTGTGCGGGGTCTTTGAGGCAGTCCGGGGGCACATCCCGACGCTTTTTCTGGAAAAAACTGCTCCTATTCTTGATTATACTGATTGTGAGATAACATGACACCAGAAACCCATAGAATACGGCTAATAAGTTGACCACAACTCTGGCCACTAAAGGGACTTTCTCATCAAATGCAGGACTATTTGATTTGCTACTCATTTTTGGTACACAATTAATGTAAACTTTATTTAATTCATAGGAACATTCACACAAAAATCATCAAAATATAAAACACTTAACGTAATATGAAAAGTAAAATGATTGCAGTGTTATAAATGCAATGAAAGGCCTGTTAGCATAGTTTTATTTATGATTACCAAACTGCACTTAACTATCCTGTTATGAACATGTTGAAGGACATTGCTGTTTATCTCCACCTCCCATTCATACAATATAACGTAATAATAATGTATTTCCATTTATAACTAGTTTTAGTTGAAAAGTCCTAAAGTTTAGTTCGAAGTGCACTCTAAAATGTACTAACTTACCTAGTTAATAAACACTAAATAAGCACTTTATTACACAGTTTTAATAAAATGTCTAATTAACTGAAAATAAATATTCGGTATTCAAGAATTAATTTAATTTTCATACCAGTATTTAATAGATTGAGTTTGAAAGTTTATGATATATCATTATATATTAATGTTTGTGAAAGTTATTTAAATTACCAATTAATTTAATTGAAACAAACTATTTCACAATATTTTAAAAGTAATGTGATATTAAGTTTTTAATAAAATCAAATGATTTGACGATACCAAAATTTAACAAAAATTAATTATTGATAATTAGTTATTGATGTGGACTTTAGTTACATATAATTTTAATTCAATTTTTATTAATTTGATTACTATACTTAATAAAAAAGTTTTATAAAAAAATTATGAATTTCAGATCAATAGTGTTGGTAATGTAATCATTGTCTCAATCGATAACAGCAATTAAAAAGTGTAAGAAAATGTTTTACTGAAATATGAACATAGGATTGATTTCACATAAAAATGAATATAAATTATACTATTGTAGTATTCAATGCGTTTTAACAGTAATCCTAATTAACTTATAAATGTTTGAACCTTTTGTATCGACTATAATTTGCACGACCTTTAAAACTTTGGCCGCAATTATTGTGTTCACAAACGTAAGGCTTTTCTCCCGAATGAATGCGATTGTGTTCAATGAGACCTGATTTTGTGGCAAATTTTTGTCCGCAATTGTCTTCATTACAAACGAATGGTTTGAGTTTCAAATGAACGGCATTTTTGTGTCTTTTTAAATTGGTTTTCTGTGAGAATCGTTTGTCACAATCCATGCATCGCAGACAAACGGCTTCTCTCCCGAGTGGACCCGTTTGTGACGATTTAAATGCATATCCTTCTCAAACCTCTGACCACATCCCTTATAATCGAATTGAAATCTCTTTTCATTCAAATGAACGACACTTTTATGTCGATTTAAAATATTTTTTGGTGCGAAACATTGACCGCAATCACTGTAATCACATTTGAATGGCTTTTCTCCCGAATGCAGGCGTTTGTGTCGATTGAGAGTTGACTTACGGGTGAATCGTTTGCCACAATCGGGATATAAACACACAAATGGGCGCTCATTGCCGACACTATCATCACCAGAACTACTAGTGCTGGCAATGGGTTCACAATAACCACTGCCTTCTCTGTCATCCTCTTCCTCCAGTTCTGGTGTCTCTATGCGTCCATCTCTGACACCACACCCGCCCTCCTGTGCCTCCAATACAACGGCATCTCTTGTCTATCGGTCGGCTCTTCTATTGTCTCCAAATGGTTGCGATCTTCAGTCTCCCATTGTGTTGCATTGAATAAGAAATACTAAAATATTTTATTAAATTTAAGTTATAATTAAAAGTTTTATTGTTTCATGTTACTAAACAAATTAGGTTTCAATATTAATTAAAACTGGTGCAAATACTATCTAGTAGAAAAATGGCTCATATAATAGTTGACCAGACCCGGCTGATCCATTTATATTCAATGGACAGTTATTGATTCACATTACAGTAAACATATTGCAAGCGCTTTATATTTTGTAAAACTTTTATTTAAGAAATATATTTATTTATAAATAACTTATAATTAGTTGACTTTTATAATCATTATAAACCCGTTTAAATGACTCATATATGGCATTATGGGTAGTGTTTCGTGGGATGCGTTTGAGTCAACGGTATCTGCTTTTGCATCATTCGGTTGCCATCGCCGGCGAGTCGGAGGTAGAAGTCGGCGCTGACGGCCACCCCGTCGGCGTCCATCGTCAGGATGTTAGCATAGTTTTATTTATGATTACCAAACTGCACTTAACTATCCTGTTATGAACATGTTGAAGGACATTGCTGTTTATCTCCACCTCCCATTCATACAATATAACGTAATAATAATGTATTTCCACTTATAACTAGTTTTAGTTGAAAAGTCCTAAAGTTTAGTTCGAAGTGCACTCTAAAATGTACTAACTTACCTAGTTAATAAACACTAAATAAGTACTTTATTACACAGTTTTAATAAAATGTCTAATTAACTGAAAATAAATATTCGGTATTCAAGAATTAATTTAATTTTCATACCAGTATTTAATAGATTGAGTTTTAAAGTTATACAGTATATTAATGTTTGTGAAAGTTATTTAAATTACCAATTAATTTAATTGAAACAAACTATTTCACAATATTTTTAAAGTACAGTAATGCGATATTAAAGTTTTTAATGAATCAAAAAATTTAAAAAATCAAATGATTTCACGATACTAAAATTTATAAGAAAAATTAATTATTGATAATTAGTTATAACTGTGGACTTTAGTTACATATAATTTTAATTCAATTTTTATTAATTTGATTACTATACTTAATAAAAAAGTTTTATAAAAAAATATGAATAAATTTAGATCAATAGTTTTGGTAATGTAATAATTGTCTCAATCGATAAAAGCAATTAAAAAGTTGTTCAAAGTGTATGAAAATATTTTACTGCAATATGAACATAGGATTGATTTCACATAAAAATGAATATAAGTTATACCAGGTACTATTGTAGTATTCAACGCGTTTTAACAGTAATCCTAATTAACTTACAAATGTTTGAACCTTTTGTGTCGACTATAATTTGCACGACCTTTAAAACTTTGGCCGCAATTATTGGTTCACAAACGTAAGGCTTTTCTCCCGAATGAATGCATTTGTGTTCAATAAGACCTGATTTTGTGGCCAATTTTTGTCCGCAATTGTCTTCATTACAAACGAATGGTTTGAGTTTCAAATGAACCACTTTTTTGTGTTCAATTAAATTCCATTTCTGTGCAAATCGTTTGTCGCAATGCATGACATCGCAGGCGTAGGGCTTCTCTCCCGAGTGGACCCGTTTGTGACGATTTAAATGGGCTTTTCTTGACAATCTTCTGCCACATCCACTGTAATCGCATTGAAATCTCTTATCCTTCAAATGTACGATCCTTTTGTGACCACATAAATAGTCTTTGCGCGCAAAACATTGACCGCAATCACATTCAATATTCACATTTCAATGGCTTTTCGCCCGAATGAAGGCGTTTGTGTCGATTGAGAGTTGACTTATGGGTGAAGCGTTTGCCACAATCGGGATATAAACACACAAATGGACGCTCATTGCCGACACTATCATCACCGGAACCACTAGTGCTGGCAATGGGTTCACAATAACCACTGCCTTCTCTGTCATCCTCTTCCTCCAGTTCTGGTGTCTCTATCCGTCCATCTCTGACACCACACCCGCCCTCCTGTGCCTCCAATACAACGGCTGAACCCTCGACTCCAATGTCCGACATATCGATCACTTCATCCAATGTCTGCATCTCTTCTATCGATCGACTCTTCTATTGTCTCCAAATGGTTGCGATCTTCAAGTCCTCCCACTTCTTGTGTCTCCGTTTGACAGCTACTCTCACCCATAGCTCCATTCAATCCCATGATCTCCCGGTGCTCTTTTGGTTCACCAATCAATGGATTATTATTTCCATAAATTCTCAACAAATTTCGACAATTTATTAATTCAATTGATTTGTCATTCAATTCATGACTATTGAGTGAAACATAGTTTGCATTCAATTGAGTGACTCTTTCACACAAATTGTTATCAAAAGCCTTTAGATTTGATAATAAATTCAGTTTTGACTTCATTTCTCTACTAATTAAGTGAACACTTGAATTGGTATTCATTTTGAATGCAAATCAATTCAATTAAACACAAATCACAACAAAATTAAAGCAAAATGTGATAAAAACTCACGAAATGATTGCACTTTTGTATGATTTTCAACATAAGACTTGAATTACAGTTTATGTCATGTATTGTCAGTTCAATACAAGTCATGCTTTCTATTCATACTTTAATTACTATTGAAATCAATCAAATAATTTCAATTAAAACAAAAGTTATTTCAAATTAAATTTTTTATTCATAATAATTACTTAAACGTAGAAATGTCTTAACCATAATAAGTGATTAGCCAATGGTTTTTGAAATTTAAATATTTATTTGTTCGTCAAATGTTTGCGTTCATGTCTTATCAAATTTGACCGATGAGTGAAACATTTGCCACAATCTTTGTGGTCACAAACAAATGGTTTGAGTTTCAAATGAACGGCATTTTTGTGTATTTTTAAACTGATTTTCAGTGAGAATCGTTTGTCGCAATCCATGCATCGCAGACAAACGGCTTCTCTCTCGAGTGGATCCTTTTGTGAACAATTAAAGTCTGTTTCAGTGAAAACCGTCGCTCACATCCATTATAATCGCATTGAAATCTCTTTTCCTTCATATGAACGGCAGTATTGTGTCGATTTAAGTCTGATTTTAGTTCAAAACATTTACCACAATCACTGAAATCATATTTGAATGGCTTTTCTCCCGAATGCTTGAGTTTGTGTCGGATGAGATGTGATTTATAAGCGAATCGTTGACCACAACCCTCGACATCACACCTGAATCTTTTAAGCTTCAAATGGACGGCACTCTTGTGTTCTTTGAGATTATGTTTTCGTGCAAATCGTTTGCCACAATTTGGCCAAAAACACACAAATGGGCGCTCATTGGAGACACTCTTAGCACCCGAATTACTAGTGCTGGCAATCGGTTCACAATCAACGCTGTCTTCTCTGTCATCCTCTTCTCCGACACCACTCTCTCCGCCCTCTTCTTCTTTCGACACCTCTTCCGGTCCTTCCGTCTCATCTCTGTCTCTGTCGTCGACCTCTGTGTCCAAAGTCTGCACTTCTTGTGTCTCCTCTGACACCACATGTGCTTCCGGGTCACCACTATTCTCGTCCACCACTCATTCAATCCCTGTATCTCCCGGTGCTCTTCCGATTCATCATTCAATTGGTTGTCATTATAATTGGCATTAATTGTCAATAATTTTCGACAATTTCTGAAATCAATTAATTTGTCATTCAATTCATTATTGTCTCCAAAACTACAATCAATTGAGTTCTCAATGAATTGAGTCTTAGTTTCACACAAATTGTTATCAAAAGCCTTTAGATTTGACAATAAATTGAGTTTAGACTTCAATCCACTGTACATTGAATTCATGTTTAAATTTATATTCATTATGAGTGACAATCAATTCAATGATAATACAAATCGATCCACAATTTTAAGTAAAATTTGCCCAAAAATCACGAAATGATTACAAAACTAACAAATTATTAATTTGACAATTTTCAATATTAGACTTTATGTTACAGTTTATGAGTGAAAGTCAGTAATGTATCAAAAGTTTAGCCAAAAACTGTTGCATTGAATAAGAAATACTAAAATATTTTATTAAATTTAAGTGATAATTAAAAGTTTTATTGTTTCATGTTACTAAACAAATTAGGTTTCAATATTAATTAAAACTGGTGCAAATACTATCTAGTAGAAAAATGGCTCATATAATAGTTGACCAGACCCGGCTGATCAATTTATATTCAATGGGGACAGTTATTGATTCACATTACAGTAAACATATTGCAAGCGCTTTATATTTTGTAAAACTTTTATTTAAGAAGGAATGTCCCTTATCAAAAGTAAAATTTATCATTTCTGTAGATATTATAGTATTCTGTATCATAATTAGATTCAATTTCAGTAAAAACTAAATTCCACTTGAGGCATATAACATTAAAATAATTAAAATTAATATTTAATATTTGAAGCAAGATAATATGAATAATACATTTGTCAAATCTTCATTACATACGTGGTTGCAAACGCATGTTGCGACTACTCAAATATAATGTATGTATTTTCTATTAATAAGTTTTGAACCCTTTAGTATTAACTAATCTACATATAAGTGATCACTTGAGGCATATAACATTAAAATAATTAAAATTAATATTTAATATTTGAAGCAAGATAATATGAATAATACATTTGTCAAATCTTCATTGCATACGTGGTTGCAAACGCATCTTGCGACTACTCAAATATAATGTATGTATTTTCTATTAATAAGTTTTGAACCCTTTAGTAGTAATAATCTACATACAAGTGAAAATAGTGATAATGTAGTGTACAGTATATTTGAGTGGTCGCAAGATGCGTATGCTATCATGTATTTAATGAAGATTTTACAAAAGTATTAATCATATTATCTTGCCTCATTTGATTATAAATTTAATACAAAAAATTGTTAGCCCTTTTGACCCCATATTCTTACTTCACTGCACTGCACTACACTTTAATACATATACAGTACATATGAATTAATAGTATTACATAGCTTGCTAATTAATTAAAACTAATTATAATTATTTTAATGTTATATGCCTCAAGTGGAATTTAGTTTTTACTGAAATTAAATATAATTATGATACAGAATACTATAATAGCTATAGAAATGATAAATTTTACTTTTGATAAAGGACATTCCTTCTAAGAAATATATTTATTTATAAATAACTTATAATTAGTTGACTTTTATAATCATTATAAACCCGTTTAAATGACTCATATATGGCATTATGGGTAGTGTTTCGTGGGATGCGTTTGAGTCAACGGTATCTGCTTTTGCATCATTCGGTTGCCATCGCCGGCGAGTCGGAGGTAGAAGTCGGCGCTGACGGCCACCCCGTCGGCGTCCATCGTCAGGA